TATGTTTTTTACGATTTTATGCAACAACAAAAATGATATTTTCCTCTGAAAGAGGGGGCTCCACCGGCAACAGATGTCTCGTTACGTTAAATTAATTCAGATGGGACCTGATAATTAAAGGAAAACTAACTGTCTGATACACAATAATATAAATTGAAGATCACTTTAATACTGTTGATTTACATAAACCTTGATAAAAGAAGGAAAATGAATGAACATTTAAAAAATATATTTATAGATTTATAAATTTTAACCTAATAATTCTGGGCTTTCTCAAAGTTCAGCACTACTTTATTTAAGAAAACAAAATGCAGAACATTCATGCCTCCCTATTTTAACCATTTTTTACCGAGGAAAAAAATATGCTTATCTATACCTCAATAAAACCATAAATTGCCCAGCAAAAGGTACCCTTCAACCTCCAAGGGATCAAATAATATCACTGGAAGGCAATAGAATATAAAGCTCCTTATTTTTATATTAGTTACTAAATCTCATCAATACAGCAACTTTATATTTAATTAGGGCCCCGCCGAATGGCAGACGCCCTAAAGTGATCAGTCTGTCCGTCTGTCCGTCTGTCCGTCCGTCCGTCCGTAACAAATTGTGTCCGCTCTATATCTAGAGAACTGTTATGATTTCAAAGTTTATACTTGACATGTATATTAACCAACACCAGAGGGTGTGTCATAATGTATGTACAACTTCCTAGGTCAAAGGTCAAGGTCAAAAACTTTGGTTTTAGTTGACAACCCCATGTCCTATGGTAAAGATCGTGTCCGCTCTATAACTTGAGAACCGTTATGATTTCAAAGTTTATACTTGACATGTATATAAACCAACACCAGAGGGTGTGTCATAATTTATGTACAACTTCCTAGGTCAAAGGTCAAGGTCAAAAACTTTGGTTTCAGTTGACAACCCCATGTCCAATGATAAAGATACAAATTTTTTGCAACACATTATTCACAGCGAGGCCCACAGAGATGGCTCTCATCTCAATGATATCTAGTTGACTCAATCTATAGAATAAGAATCATACAAGTTCCATTATGCAATGGAAATCACCATTGTATATTTATATAATACGCGTAGATAGTATACCGCTGTTCGAAACTCATAAATCGATAGAGATAAAAACAAATCCGAGTTACAAACTAAAACTGAGGGAAACGCATCAAATATAAGAGGAGGACACAACAAAAACACAACATTAAAATGTAACACACACAGAAACGAACTATAATATAACAATGGCCATTTTCCTGACTTGGTACAGGACATTTTAAGAAAAAAATGGTGGGTTGAACCTGGTTTTGTGGCATGCCAAACCTCCCGCTTTTATGGCTACGTCAAACACAACACCAAAACGACAACATCACATGACAGGACCACAATACAAATAAATGGGAGAACATATAGGACAAAGAAACACACGAATAATAGCTAACAAAATGTACTAGGCTTAAAATTCAATACGCCAGACGTCAAGTCAGGAAGATGAGAGTTGTTCGTCAGTCGTTCCGTTGGTTGATAACGTTTGATTTTGTCAGATTTGTATTGTCTTCACTCACTTTAAATTTACCTTGGAGCTCGTTTTTTTTTCACTATTTGCTTTTTTGTACGCCGAAACATGTCCACCTATAATGCAAACATTCCTTAGAACTTTTAGAAATGTTTATTAAGGTTTCCATTCATGAAAACCTTGGATGAGTGTGGTTATAACAAAAGTCTGAAATCAGGAACCTTTTTTTCGAGGATGAAAAAGAGGCAGAAGATACCAAGGGGTCATTCAAAAGTCATTGTCGGAAAAAAACTGACAACGCCATTATAAAAATAAAACCGCAAAACGACGAAAATACGAACACGACCACAAAGCACTTCAGAGGAAACTAAAGTAATAGCAACACGAACTTAACCTAAAATTGGGGTAATCCTTAGCTGCTCCGGAATAGTAAGTAGTTCCTGCTCAACAAGTGGCACCAACGTGTTGCTCACGCAAGTACAAATCAGGTTTACAATTCATGTTTTTAATAAACAGTCGAATTTTCACTTCCTTATTTTTACAATTACTGCGAAAACCAGTTTGCTTACATCAAGACTTGTTACACGTGAGATACACTTAGCTCGTAATCATCTGCTTGGTAAACAAACGTGTACCCCTATTAACCAATGCAAGCAGACGATTACGGATTATATATATCTAACATGTAGACAAGTCCCTTTATTACTTCGCATCACGGTGCGGAGCTACAAAATGTATTAGTTTCAGTCGATAAACACGACATCTTGAAATAATTACTTATCACATAAAGATTCTGATTGGTTGCATTATGATTCGGCTGAGATACAGCAACAGCTATTGGCTTAAATGAGATAAAGAATAACAGACTTTTCTCGTCTCAGGATAAGACATCAAATGCTGAAAAATTAACTGTGTATTTCAGTTCCGATCAAGTGTTGTTAATCCATGTTCGTTTTATTATGCAAATATTGCACACTGAAATTCAATATTGAAATATCATTTTTTTTACTCCTGTTTATTTGCTTTGTTAATCTGTAATATGCACGATTTGTTTAGCTAAACAATGTTCCTATACAATGTTTACAAAAATGCATTATCTGTATTTTATAACTTCTGCCAAGCTGGGCACACCTCCAGAGAGGCACACCTCGAAAGACGTGTTTTGTAAATGTTTTAAATTTCAACAAGTAAATCGATTTTTTTTAAAAGCATGGGTGTATAACGTACAACACTGAACAGCCATTTCAAAATTTTAGAAAAGTTCATCTTAATATATATACAAAAATTGATATTCCAAGTCTAAGACATCCATTTTATATCAATCATTAGAGAAGTTTAGCAGTTGAACGTGTACGTGTACGTGTACTTGTACGGGTGAAATACACGTACAAGTACACATACACGTACACGTTCATGTCTAATAGATGGCGCAACTTGTACGGGTACATGTAAATACAATTTAACGGAGATTTCGATTGGGCACGATTATCGAATCGGAAAATATCATTCATCGGCAAGATGGCCAATTTTCGTCTGCTAGCTGCAATAGATGAGGAAATAGAGGACGAGTTATTGCTTCTTTCATGTTATAAGGACAATTCAAATTCAGGAGATGCTTTTAATTTTGATGAATTATCTGCAGAGGCTTGCAAAAAATTGTGCCGTTTTGAAAAAGATGACATTCCAAATTTATGTACAGCCTTGGGTATCCCAGATTCTTTTGTATGTGACAACCGAACGGTGTGTTCCGGTCTAGAAGCCTTATGTCTTTTATTACGTAGATTAGCTTATCCTAGTCGCCTTTCAGACCTTAAATCTGTATTCGGACGCTCTGAAACTGCTATGTCTATAATCATTAATACAGTATTGAACTTTGTCTACGATGCTCATAACCATCTCTTTCATGATTTAAATAGTAATTGGTTATCGCACAGGCATTTACAGGAATACGCTGACGCCGTTGCAGCTAGAGATGCACCTCTTCTTAATTGTTGGGGTTTCATTGATGGGACCGTTCGACCCTTATGTAGACCAACTACAAATCAGCGCATTCTGTTTAATGGTCATAAAAGAGTCCACGCTATAAAATTTCAAAGCATAGTTGCTCCTAATGGACTTGTAGCAAACATGTATGGTCCGATTGAAGGTCGAAGGCATGATGCCGGTCTACTACGAGAGAGTGGTATTTGTGGAGAACTTCAGACACATATGACAACCCCAACTGGTGATATTTATGTTATTTACGGTGATCCGGCTTACCCCATGACTACACACATCATAAAACCTTTCCGAGAAGGAGTCATTTCAGCAGCACAGGCACGATTCAACAAGAAGATGTCTGCCGTGAGAACATGTGTGGAATGGACTTTTGGCAAAATTTTGACTTTGTTTGCATTTTTGGACTATAAGAAAAACTTGAAGTTGTATTTGTAACCTGTAGGGAAATATTACTTGGTTGGCACTATTCTTGTAAATTGTCATACTTGTCTATACGGTAGCGAGACTGGACATTATTTTGACATTGATCCACCAAGTTTGGAAAATTATCTGTCTGGATGAAGCTATATACACTACGTGTAATTCGTTTTTGTTGTACAATTGATGTGAACTTTGTCTTGAAAATAAAATAAATATTGTTGAAAATATTAAATCTTAAATGTCTAATTCAAGATCCAGACCATATATCACGTCTAAATAAAAATGAAAGGGTGTAACTTTTTATTCCATTGTACATTTCTCATAGATATGTTGCAAGAAATTCCTTGAAGGCGTATATGTTATCAATGTTTACCAGCCTTCTCATCTCCGATTTAATTTGGTTAAAAAATACTGCATCTTCCCCTTGAAAAAAAAGGAAAAAGGAAAAATAAAGTTTCATGATTCCCCTTTTGAAATAATAGGAAATATCCTCATATGAACATTTGTACTTAGTTTCAAGTTGATGCGACTCCATCTTCATCATGAACAACTTTGACAAAAAATGTAACTTAGAATGTACTGTTTTTACACAATCATTTTTCTTTGAACCGTAAAATTTAGGGTCAAAAACTTAATTCAGCAAACAATTTAGAAAGATCATAACATGAGGAACATGTGTACTAAGTTCTACATCATCATTAACTGCCTTGACCAAAACTTAAATTGATACGAGACAGACGGACGGACGGAAATGCAGACCAGAAAACATGATGCCCCTTAATTTACTATCAAAGATGGGGTATAATAAAAGGTATAAGTAAGAAATTCACACACGAACTATCAACCAAGGTATTCCTGTCTTGGAACCGGTAAACGTCAAATGTGGTGGGGGTAAAACTAAATTGTGGCATCTTATTTCAAGGAGACCATGAGTCAACAACCCACCAAAACAAAATTAAACCAAGCATTTTACTATCTCATTATCGAATCGCACAATATGACACAATGATGATGAAAAATTACAGCAAATTTAGAGTAATCAATATTTTGTATAATATCAGAAAAATTTATTTTTCCTATTCACAAAAATATCAGCTAATTCAGTTCTTGTCCGCTTTCTAAACATTTCAAAAATCATCATCTTTTCCTGTCTTTCAATATCCATTCTCTGTCTCCTCTCGTTTTTCTCCAACTCAAATTTCTCCCTCTCAAACTGTAGTTGTTGTTTCTTCATTTCCATCTCCTCTTTCCTTATTTCCATCTCTACTTCCTTCTTTTCTTGCAGATAAGAAAGAATGTTGTTGGATGATTTTGATTTCTTTGGTCTAATAGCTTCTTCTGCATCACAATCTGTATATAGAAGGTCACATGAAAATATGTGCTTTCCAATTAAAGGTTAAAACAGTAAAATAATAAATTATTGTGCTTATGATTTACCTTTGTAATTCAAAAACGTCTGCAATAAAATGCATGTTTCAAATCAACGAAAAACCATAAAATTGTTCTTACCATCTCTGTTTTTAGGGACATATGAAGATAGTAATAAAAAGATAATTAACAGCAGAACCAAACATAAACATTTTTTGTACATAATTTAGGCCGTTAGTATTCTCGTTTGAATTTTATAGCTGACTGTGCGGTATGGGCTTTGCTCATTGTTGAAGGCCGTATGGTGACCTATAGTTGTTAATTTCTGTGTCATTTGGTCTCTTGTGGAGAGTTGTCTCATTGGCAATCATACCACATCTTCTTTTTTTATAATAACCACAACCATTATTTTCTTTCAAACTGATTGAGGCGAGTCATTTTATACAAATTGTATTGTAAATATAGAATACCAAAAATAAACTAAAATTATCATGATTTTAACTTACCTTTTGTGGGTGTCAGGGTTTCTAATGCCCTTTTTCTAATGTCAAGGGAAGCCTTTTCTAGGGAAGCTGTTTTTTCTTTATCTGCATCCTTTTTCCTCTCTTCTTCCTCCATCAACCCTATCACCTCCTCCAGTAAACTTTCTCTTTCGCTATATTCCTCATTTATACCTGATCTAAAACATATAATGTAAAATTATAAATCAAGCAGAATTAAATCACTCCATTGGAAGGCTTTATATTTGAAACTAAATCAAACACAAAACAAAAAGAACTTGCATTTGATTTGAAAGCTAAGTTATAGTTACCAAATTAAAAAGTGTTGGGTATGTGTAGATACACCATAGGAGGGACTAAATTCCACGAGAAAGCTTTGCTTTCGAGTGAAATTTAGTCCATCCTATGGTGTATCTACACATAGCCAATCACTTTTTTTATTTTGGTAAATGACATGTGTCAAAGTTCACAACTGATATCACGTGATGAAAAGTGCTTTTCCCGCTGCATTATCAATCTGCGGGTTTCAGTCGTCTGAAATGGCTGCAAAAATGGAGGTCAGTGACATTGACTTTTTAAACTTTTTCTACAACAGTAAACTGTTCGGGCTCAGAGGTGTGGACGAGCATCGGAATCTGTCCGTGGACCAGTTCGAACTTGGATATGATCAGACGGGAAGCTATATTTTATTCAAGGGCAGAGCCAACAAAACGTACTATGGTAAGTTTCATTTTTCTTACAATTTTGTAGTATTTGTGCTTTTATTGTGTATTTCAATTGGTTCTTTTGTGTATTTGGGTCATCAACACTTGACTGACGATTTTCAGAAAATCCAGGTGTCTTCGTCGAGGTCCGCGCTACAACAGGTGCTTCTTTTATGGAAAACAATAAGGTAAACACGGGTATATTGTGTCATGTGTATGCTTATTACATTTTACCCAATCCAGGCCAAATAAAATTGTTTTATATTTCAATAATCAGTTTTGTTCAATGTTAGATTTTTATGTCACTGAATGTCAATACTTCATTTTTTTTCAGGTGGACTCAGATCAGTGGAACCTAAGTGCCCAAGTCTTAAAACACTACCTTCAAAACCCTGTACTTTTCAAGAATTATCACGGAACAGTATTTGAATATTGTACGTGATCTGAATGGGACAGTCTTTTACAGGAGACCTCTAGATTAAGGACGTACATGTAATGTTTGGTGAACAGTCAGTAGGCGTTAACAAAGTATCTAATATTATGAAAACGGAAAATCGTGAACCATCAAATAGTGCTGGAGGAGGCTTTGGAAGTTTGTTGACTGGATGCATGTTCAATTCTAATAATGGAGGTTAATTACAATGTATATGTGTGATTAATTCAGTATTTGTGGATTATGTTGAATGGTTTTGGTGTCTTTCATTCAAAGGAATGTTTTTATAATGGAATTATGTGCACCTTTTTTTTTGTAGTGAATTTGTTTGCATTATGGAATTATGTGCATCTTTTTTGGTAGGATCAGAGGATTTATATATGTGGCGTTCAGTCTCACATTTGTTTAAAAATAATACAGTTATTAAAATTCATTGTTATACTTATTATATAAAAAAGAAAGGATACGGGGTATTCACCAATGAAACAACTACCCAACACTTTGGTTTTAGGGTTGAAAAATATTCCAGGAAAGAAAATGTGTTACATTGTAGTTTCTGGCTAAAAGTGTGAGGTATCTAACATACACCACAGGACCATTTTCAAGCATCTGGTAAACCAATCAGAGGGCTGACATGGAACTGTGGTGTATGTGTAGATACCCTCACACTTTTTCAATGGAAAATCAAACAAACTATGGTACATTAATTTTAATAACTCTTTTTAATCACTTTTACACTTTCAATAAATCTTTTTAAACACTTTTACACTTTTAATAAATCTTTTTCATTCCTGTTCTTAAGTTAAAGGCAATTGATTTTAGGGGGCTGCTCATTTTCTGGAAAATATTTATTTTTATTTTTATGAAAAAATGTACCAATGTACAAAATGTAAATAAGACACCCCCTGGAAAATCACTTACTTTTTCAAGTTTTCCCTATTATCTTTTTTGAATTGGGTAATTAACAAGTTGGTCCTCTCTCTAGCCCGTCTCCCATCTATTAGGAAGGTTGTTGTCGAGAGTTTTTCGCCTATCTCTATCCACTTCCCTTTATTTCGGAATGGATTGTCTAATGTGACCTCCCTTAGCAGTTTAATATCATCAGCCACAGAAAATCTTGCTTGCTTTTTTCTTGCAGGAGTACAAGATGCCATCTTTAAGTGCCCTGTAAGATATGAAATATTTTCTACAAATCAAAATAAATGTATGAAACTTGTAATTTGTTAACAAAATTATGGTAAAGATATGGATAGCTTATACGTTCAGGTATTTCACATCCAATTTTTTATGGAAATATTCTTTATAAAGCACAAAAATGTCAGTATTCACCTCTGAAGCTAACAAAACCTTTAAATAGACTTATTAAGAAGGGATATAGTTACGATACTGTTGAGGTCATTAAAGATTGCATATTTTGGCGTTAATATTGATTCACTTATAGGGTCTTTGCATCGGCACTAAACACATTTATTTAAAAACCAGTTGTTGGCATGACACGGGTTATGTTCTTCTCATATATGTTATGATGGTATGATACTAAACCCCTAACGGGAAAGATTGTGCCTGATATTCATATGATGAAGACATAATCTTTCAATCAGTTTAATTGAAGTCTGGAGCTGGCATGTCAGTTAACTGCTAGTAGTCTGTTGTTATTTATGTATTATTGTCATTTTGTTTATTTTCTTTGGTTACATCTTCTGACATCAGACTCGGACTTCTCTTGAACTGAATTTTAATGTGCGTATTGTTATGCGTTTACTTTTCTACATTGGCTAGAGGTATAGGGGGAGGGTTGAGATCTCATAAACATGTTTAACCCCGCCGCATTTTTGCGCCTGTCCCAAGTCAGGAGCCTCTAGCCTTTGTCAGTCTTGTATTATTTTTAATTTTAGTTTCTTGTGTACAATTTGGAGTTTAGTATGGCGTTCATTATCACTGAACTAGTATATATATTAGTTTAGGGGCCAGCTGAAAGACGCCTCCGGGTGCGGGAATTTCTCGCTGCATTGAAGACCTGTTGGTGACCTTCTGCTGTTGTCTGTTGTATGGTCGGGTTGTTGTCTCTTTGACACATTCCCCATTTCCATTCTCAATTTTATAGAGAGGAAGACTCTATTACAGAGTCAATTTAGCAGGAAATTCTTGTATTCATTATTCACTTTGTTTTCCTCCGTTGGTAGCAAGGTATTGCGGCAACGTCAATCAAAGGGATATATTCTTCATAAAATTCATTTTAGGTATATTTCAGTGACAAGTGCCCGCTTGGCGGCCCATATATTTCTTTTCATTTGTAAACAACAAAATAATCTTCTGAATTCAATGTAATTAGAGCTGCATACTCCCGAGAGAAAAAAGAAATTATTTTACTGCTATTTTCATTGAAAGAATGTTCAGAAAATCCAATAAAACTCAGAAGTTTTTACTTACGTGTAAATCCCGCCTTACAAGTTCCCAATGGCGTGTACTTGTAAAACGTCGCATACATTGATGACGTAAAACGCAATGCATCAGGGAATTTCCCTACTACCCGTACCCGTACACGTACACGTCTGCTTTGCTAAACCTCTCTAATATCTAAAAATACCACATTTCCAACACTAAATCAACAACCACATGCACACGTATTACCTTAAATAAGGATAGAGCGAAGCAGTCAACAGCTTTTTAAAAAGCTCAAACTTGTATGACAGTTGTTTCCATTCGTCATTCGTTCCGTTGGTTGATATAGTCGAGTTTTATTTTGTCAGGTTTCTTTAACTTCCTTCTTTTTGAATTTACCTTGGAGTTTGGTAAGTTTTTATTACGTTTGTGCCTGCCAATTGATTTGCAACCATGGAATTACAGAAGACTGAAATAAGTCCTCGATCTCAACCCTTTTGAAATCCATTCAGTTACTTTCCAATTGTTGCAAATCGAATCATTGATATCTGGTTTTTTCTCAAACTAAGTAAACGGTCTTGTCGTTGGGGTGCTGTCTAATTGAGATATATCACACGTCTCTTTATATTCATGCACAGCACATTAAGAAAGAGTTTTTTAAACAACTAATTCTTGGTTAAATGACTTTGAAATTGCTTTTTGTTAATCTATACTGGAGCTCAAAATAAATGTCGCTTAGTATAAAATGCTGATTTTCATGAAATTTAACTTGAAGGTTTCAACTCAGTCATATATTTATCGCAGCTTTGAAATATAGATGTTTTTTTGTCGTCAAATCAATCAACAATCTTGCTCAGCTTTCACAGACAAGCTAAAATATAAGCAGTTTAATTTAGAAATAATTAATGAATAATAATCATTTATCATGTCACGAAACAAAATTCATGAGGATTTGAAGTTTAAGTATTTGCAATAGCTTATACAACAGGAGCTACAATAATCTCAATAAATTATCGATATGATTAAATGGATATGATAACATGATCATTTTTTCACCAACTGTACATGGTTGGGTTGTGTTCAAGATGTAGACATGATTGGGCGTTTGCGACACGTTTCAGCGTCCAACACCAGCTGATAAAATGAAAATTTTATATCTATATTGATTTCATATGTAACATTACTTATTTGATTACTACTGAACATTTTTAATAAATCTTACTTTTATTTAAGAAAATTGGCTTTCACCAAATTCCTATCATCTATTGTTTATGTTCCATGTTTTGACTACCTTCACATTCATGCAGTTTCTCATTCAATAAGGTCATTTACGCCGATTAACTCGGGTAACGCATTCACAAAAAGCATACGACGTGCGAGTATATTTGGAAGAGCACAAACAAAATTAATAATGACGTTGCCAATCAGCTGACATACAGTATATTCGTATTTTACTACGGATGTGTACTCAAAGCGTTCGAGGAATGTCATATTAGAATTTTAGTTTACTACAGCGCCCTTGAGTTAAAACCGAAATCTTTTGCTGATGTTAAAGAACTTGCAATAAATAAAACCACAGAACAGAGTCTCCTTTCACAATAAATCTCAAGAGTAAAAATACTCGTAAGTTTACACAATTCAATATAACTTACGATCAGTTTTAATCGTAAGATTTTTTTGTTAAAAGAGTCGCAGGTATGCTGCATATCGTGACTTACGAATCATTATTTGGAATGTTGCACTTAAGAACTCAGAATTTACAGCAAAACTGAACCTTCAAAAATATTGTGATGAGGTATATTCAACATGCGGTTTCAATCAGAAATGGATTCTTGAACATTTAAAAATTCTTCTCCAAAGTTTTCAATCACAGCTTTAACAATTTTACAGGAAAATATTATTTTTCTTTTCTTCGCTTTTCACGACTATTCCCCTTGGTCATTTGAAAAATCGACTACATCGTCTCATTGAACAGAGCCTTTTTCTATAAAAATGGGTAATAGATACAAATTCCTTTATACAGTCACAAAAAATCGTACTTTGTGAGAACCACATTGGTTTCCAGAACAATAAAATCAATCCTGGACTTTTGATGAATTGATATTTAAGCAGAGAGTTGGTTTTCCAATGGGTGTTAAATGTGCACCACTACTGTATTTTGTTTTTGTTCTCGAATTAAACAGTAAATATACAGAAACTTCTCAAAGACAAAAAGAAAAAGCATCTTGCAAAGTTTTATAATTTCACTTTCAAATATATTGATGTCCACTCACTAACCCACAATTCAATCAGTGCTTGCATCTCATATTTCCCAGTGAACTTGACATTACAAATACAATGATACTCCCGAAAGTAGAAGATCTGCTTCATATTTTGACCTTTTTTACGATATTGACAAAGGTGGACGATTTCAAAATAGAATACATGACAATCGTGATGGTTTCAACTTTCAATTCTTCAGTAGTATGCTCCGTCGTATGCATGGCATTTACATATCTCAGGTAATACATTAAGCTCATGCATGTTCAAAGGGGTGAACAAAAACTGCTCCAACAAAGTTATGAGGAAGAACGACTGAAATCGACACTTCATACGGTTACGATCAATAGTTGGTATCTCAGGGACAACAAACTTGCTATTACCCTCATAACCAGTCAATAAGTGTATAATATCTATATCGATAACAAATGTATTGTAAAGCAAATAGACAAAAATGATTACACCATGGAATATCACCAATTATGAAGTTGAATCCGCCAAAAAATATTGGGGTATTCATAGGCTATAAACTAATGTTCTCCCATACTAGTATTTGATAATGGTCAACAAGACAAATTCGATAATTGGAGTACCGTTGAACTATGGAATACATGTATTGTTCAACATTTGCTCTTTCGTACACAGCCCTTTTGAGACTCATATTTGAAAAATCATACAGAATCCAAAAGGAAATGTCGAAAGAAGAACTAATAAAGCAAATACCGAGTCTATCACAACTACATATATGAAGAACGATTACGAAAACTCGAATTACCAACATTGTTATACAAAAGACCACTAGCAGATATGAATGAGCTTGTTATTTTAGCAATCAGTTTTCAAAAATAGAAAAATATCTGCATTTGAATGATTGTCATTTATATTGAATCCTTTTGGTGTCAGACCTTTTATTTTTCTACCTCCGCGTGAACTGTTACTTTTTTCCTGTTTGCATTAAGTTAGTTAGTTGTTTTAACTTCTACAAATTTCAGTCAGTTAGAACGCTCCCTTGGCCACGGAAATAATTCAGAATATCAAATAATAATGCATTTAAACCATAAACCCGATAAAGTGAGCTCTAGTTGAACATAGATTAGAAAATAGTGTTTTAAACAAACCTAATCGAGAGTTCAGCGACCCTTCAGGAAGACTGACTCAAAGTGATAAAAAGCTGACGCGGTACGTACAACAGAATATTCTAAAAACGGGAATACAAAAACAATAATCGAACAAACTAATGAGAGGAACAATCAGAAGTGTGTTGCTAGTGGGAAAATGCGACGGATGCTGAGAGAAGGTGATTGGTATTGAGGAAAGGTGGTGGAAGGTAGGAGAAGGTGATATTATGTGCCTTCAGATGCAAAAAGAATAAAACTTCAGTTAGTAATACATAGCCGTTAAATTGTTCAAAAACAAGAACAGTAACATTATTTTTTTTTAATATTTGATAAGGTGTAATTTATAATGGGTTGATCCTTTAGCAATTATCCCTCTCTAATCAAGAACACATAAAAATAACGTAAAGTTTAATAAGATAACAATTCACACTCTGTTCAGAAACATAGAGATTGAGTTATATGAATATGGTTTAAAAGTGAATTAATTT